GCGTTATTTCTGACATCTCTCATATGTACATCATGTGTATTATATTGTTTGTAGGACGTATATATTAGCTGTCATTGTGGTGACAGGTTAAGTTCACTCACACTACACGTTAAAATAAAAGCAATAATAGCGTGCGCGTAGCGCGCGCCTGTGTTGTGCTAGTTTACATAAATAGAAGAGATTATGTATATGTTCGCACGCTGTCCAAAGTTATTTGAAATTTTATCTTCTTTGTTTTACAAGAAACTCGCCGCATTTCTGTTGCGCGCGGCTTTCTTTCTGCTCGCATCTTTGCCAGCTGACTATAAATCTCGCGGCTAGACAAAAGCAGAAAAAAGATGAGAAACATCAATTAAAGTCAGGTGCCGGCTTGGTTTTTATGATGTTCGGAAATTCCGCGATGATGGGGGCGTGCGAGCCCCCTGGGGATCCACCAATCTCACAACTGGCAACACGTGTCCGCAAGATGTTACCCGCTCGTAATTAGGGTTGATGATCTTTATTTTCAATTCTTAGAAAAATTCTTAAAAAAATTAAAATACCATAATGAAAAACCATAATGAATAAATTTTACAATTTTTTCAAAAGCAAAAGAACGCATTACGATACGTTAATTAACGAGAACAGTAGTTTTTAATGAGCACACACATGTGTCTTTCTCCGTGTTCTTGAAATAGAACACTTTATCGTTTCAACGTTCTCGCGTTCCTCTCTCTCGCATCCATCGATTAAGTCTAACAAGGTTTGTAAGAAGAACTCGATCGATTTTTAATTATTGCGTAACGTTAAAAGGAACTACTTGTTCTGTTTACGGTTAACGTCGCGCGAGTAACGAGTCACGTCAAATCTATTTCCACTTGTTAGGAACACTGGAAATTAGAGTCGCCACAATTAAATTTACATCAGTCGGTGCGCCAAATTTGATCGTTTCGCTGATAGAAAGCACACAATTTCCGGTTCGTTTACTAATGTCCATCGTGCGGGCAGAGACTTTCTTCTTTCCTCCGATATATATTTCTGACGTGCTTTTGAACTTGTTTCTTTTTGATGAAATGGTTATTACTGCCTGCAATGGCGACAGTTCTTATTCTTGTTTTGTTTCAGGTTGTGTGCATCGAGACATCGAGAGATGGTGGTGGTGGTCGTGGTGGTTCCCAAGTAAACCGACCTATACGTTGCGTCGGGAGAGACAAATAACACGAGACAGCCTGTGTGTTTCCCCATCAGATATTTTTATCTATATATATATATATATATATATAACACTATCGCTTCTGCTAAAGGTGCCTTCTGTTTCTAAAGGTGCCTTTCGGTCTCTTTCTTTTTTTCTTCTTTTTAAAATTGATTAGTGTTGTACATGTGCGTACAAGACATATATTAACCCTTTCACTGCTGAGTTCAAATATATTGGACTGCTCGAATATATTTGAATATATTAAACCGTAGCGCGACTATATACTTACTACTATAACTCCTCTAAACTAATGTTATATTGCAATTTAAATTTTATTATTATTTGTTTTTATTAAAATTAATCTACTTATTGAATTAAATACAAAAAAACCTTTTATTCTTACCGTGAATAAATTATTATTAAATTTTTTCTAAATGTTAAGAATACTATTCATAATTTTATCCTATTATTTAAAAAAATTGATATCTCGTGACAGGAATAATGATTTTCGCGGGCTTGAAGTTAAATCTCCTTTCAATCGAGTGGCTCGCGAGTTCAATCAAATATTTCGAAAAAATAATTAAGCAGAGGTCAAAAATAATTTAGCAAAAACAGGTTGCATGTAGTGTCTCTCATTAAATCAGTAATGAAAGAATTAAAAATAGACATGTAGTTTGAAAAAAATGTTTTGTTCGTTGTTTTACCTGTTACTTTATTAACGAAGTACCTACTGTAATTTTGTTGTATACTTTTGTTCAACGTAACGAATCTAATTACGAGTCAAGTTCGTTGCTCGATAATACGAACAAGAAGAAGCCGTATTTAGCTCGCGAAGAGAGCATAGGAAACATTTTCGTCCGGAAAAATGAAAAATATCAGGAAATGTAAAACATTTCCCCCCCTTCTTTGCTGTGGAAGCCGCCGACGAGAAGAGCAGCTACTCTTTTCCGGCAGTTTTAACGTGGCAGCACCGCGGCGTTGAATTTTTATCGAAACGTAGCCGATGGCTATCCCCCAGACGTAAGGATTTTTATTGTCCGGAGATGCAACGCGAGTACACGACACGCGGAATATGTATGACCCACGCTCGCTTGCGCGAGACCGACAGAGTTATGAATAAAAACATTTCTCGTCCGATAAAAGCAAACGGACACCACCGGCCGTACATATGTACGCGTTCATTTTTCTTTCCGTGTCAATCCCTCCGTCGGGGCGATAATGCGCTGCGGAACGAGTACGCGAATACCGTGCAGCTCGTTCCGCGTTCTCGATCCCATCTCTCGATCAGATCGCGAACAGCACCTGCACGCGTAAAGTCAGCCACCTGGAGCTGCCGGTTCTTTTTTTCTTTTTTTTTCTGCGAACTCAATTAATAATTTATTTCCAGAGCGTGTCGCCGGATATTGTCGCATGTGCACGTTGTTTTTTTTTTTTTTTCAGGTTCGCTTAAACGCTCGGTTAATGATCTCGGTGGAACGAAATCGCGTCATTTGTGCCGCGCTATGTAGAAAAGACTTTTGTCAATATATATGAATATCTTTTTCCGCGTGAAAACAAACTTCACAGAAACTATTTAAATAATACGAGGAATTCAGGACTTTTTTTCTTATTTCAATATAATAATAATAAATTTCAAACCTTTGCCAATTTTTTCTTAATATTTTCTTATATAATTATATATAAATTGTATACACAAAAATTATTTATAAATTATATATAAATTATGTACAAAAATTATATATATTGATAGGAAACAGATATGTTGCATCTTCTTGTAAAAATTAATGTGAACAAAAAGTTAGAAAAAAAAAAAATTATGATCGATCTCTCACTTCGAAGTGTTGCACGATAGTCTCAATTACGAGACACGTCTGTGTAGTAAACAATATACAAGTTCTCTTAATTAAAAAAGTTACGAAAACAAAAATAAAAAGTGTTCTTCGTTTAAGAGAATAAATTACATCTTTGCAACTGAAAATTTCCACAACAAACTTTGTAAGAGTTTCCCGACACTAATAATGATTTGAGAAAATATTCATTATAGTTTTAACAAAATACAAACAGAAAATCACAATTTATTTGCAAACGCACGCCGGTGTAATAAACTTTGTTGGCAATTTTTTACGGATAGGAATTTATTCAATTATGACTGGTCGGTAAAATGATAAAAAAGAGACGTAACATGAACTGTCCGAGATACAAATTCACTCTCTTGCGCTGTTTACGAAAACTTATATATGCGCCCTCTCCCCGTCATCTGCGTCACCCTAAATCATATTTTCAGCATCGTCGGCGACTATCGTCGTGTCAGGATATTCTGATAACGAGTTGAGCCGTTGATAGGCAGGATTCATTGCGCCGCGCCGGTATCGGTCGGTCCGCGGAAATATGTGA